GAAGGTAATCTTTTTCTACTAGGTTTATTTAAGAATTGACTATTTTTAGTTGTAGTAGCTGATGCTAAAGCTGATAATTCTTTTTTAGCTTCTGAACTTTTATCCAAAGTATTGGATTTTTTAAACTCTCATCATATAAATTATTTCTATATAAATCACCATGTGTTTGTGACAGATTTGATAGTGAAAAAGAAGACATAAAAAAATCATCATCTTGGAAATTCTCCATTATAATTCAAGCTTTTTTTGAACTTTTTAAATAAATTTTTACTTATTTATTTATTTTATTTTTTTGTAGTAATAACAATAGTTCAAGGTAATATACTTTTTAATAAGAGTGTACAATTTGGGATCAAAATAACAAAGATTTATGATCTAAGAACTTGGAAGTTTCAATCGAGTTATTAAGCAAGTTTTATTATTGTATTAGGGCTTTGGAATTATAAAAAGAAGTATTTTAGATTATTTTCTTTTTCTTTATAATGTTTTTAACTAATTTTTTACCTTATTTGTGAATTCTCAACATTTTTCACGCTCTTTTGCACAGCCATTTTTGCGACCTTTCTCTTTTTAGTATTATTATTTCTTTTATTTATACAATTATGATTTTAATTATTTAACTCTGTCTTCTTTAAAAATCTAGCTATTCTGTCTATTGTATATTGCTGCTCTCTCTTTTTTTCTCTTTTTGAAAAAGTTTCTGTAGTCTAGTAACTCCATTATCTTACATGTTACTTGTTTGTTTATACACATGTTTGGTTGTTTTGTTGTTTGATTTTTTATCTATATATTGTTTATTTAATCATATTTCCTTTTTTGGGGGTTCGCTAAAGCAAGATAATCACGTGACATAACATTTTTTATTAGGGTACTTTAGGGTTAGCGCCCACCTTTGGTTAGGGTTAGTGTTAAAGTAGTTTCTATAGGTAAAATTACCTCTCTGACATTTTTTGTTAATGCTGCAAAGTGGGTTTAGACTACAGTTTCTTCTATTTTTCACATATTTCTTCTTTTTTCGCTTGTTTTGCTTCGTCGGGCTAATCCAAGATTATCAAATTTCAACGATTTGATTGGTTGATTATTACGTAATTTATCCTGCTTTAGCAGACCCCCTTTTTTGTATGTATTTGTTTACTTTATTGTTTTGTTTTTGGTGATCTGCAAAACAGAGTAATCAACAAATCTTCAAATTTTTCTAAAATTTTCTAAAAGTTTTTATCAAAAGTTAAAATTTCTTGTATGATAAAGCCTCTAGTTTGTTGAGAGTGAAACTTTTCTATAAAACTATAATTGTTTTTCCTCTTTTTAACTTTTTTTCTTAGATTGGATTTGTTGTTAACTTAGTATGTTTTTGTTCTATCTTCTTTGATTTCTTTTTTGTAGCAGAGTGATCTCCAAAAGTTAAGATATTATATAATTAATTAGTATATTTTTTTATATAATATTTCAAATAAATTTGGTATTGCTAAACAATTTATGAACTTTTTTAAAAATTTATAAATTAATTTTATAATTATTAAGTTTATTGCAAATATATTTTTGCTTGCTATATTTTTTTGATTTATATTATATATTTTTGTATATTTTTAATATTTTGTTATTTGTAATATCTCATAGTTTTATTCAAGTTTTCACAAGTTTTTGATTAATTATATTTTACTATATTTAAATTTACTATATTGTAAATATTTGTAATTATTACTATATATAATACTCCAAAGTTACTATAGTATAAACTTTTATAATTATTATTTATACATAATACTCTAAACTAATTATAAGTTTTTTATAATTTTATTTTGTATAAAAATTTTTGAAAGTTTATATATATATTTTTTTGCTGATATTATTACTTACTATAGAGATAGCATTTATTATTTAGAAGTAGTTCACATATACTACTTGCTAACAAACTTAAAGTTTATTACTTATTAAAAAAAAATCAGCAATATGCTTAACTTTATATATTTTACTACTTTTTGAAAAAAATCTACTCTCTTTTAAAAGTAAAACAAAATTTATATTTTTTACTATTGCCTACTTGTGTTTTTAACAAAATTTTTATAAAAAGTAGACAAAACAGCTTACTTCTATTAGAAGATTAGTATTGTTTACTCTTTTCAAATTTAGACAAACTAGTAAATTGCAACTACATATTTTGTTTTAGAACAAACACATTGCTACTCTACATAACTTGGTAACTAAAAATAGATATTTAGTTAGAAAGAATTTTCTTTTTACTAAGGCATAGCTTTAAATTAAAGATATACAAATATTGTATTTAATATAATTTTTACAAGTCTTGTATAGGTTATAATAATATAATTTTTTTTTTATATTTCTTTTACTACTTCTTAATAGAGATAGCAACTTTATAAGCTTTGTTTAACTTGTTTCAAGCTTTTCTCTTTAGGTTTTTTTTTATATTCTCTATTTTTTTATTACTTTTTTTTTATATTCTTTTTTCATTTATTTATTATTTTTTTTTTTTCCCTTTAATAACCTTGCACTAATTTATTAGAAACTTTAGCAATTTACAAAATTTGTAACAACTAACTATCTAAATTTATAGATTAGCAAAATCCGGCTGCTGTAAAAGTGCCCAAGTATGGTTATTACACTGATATTGCTAACAAGCTTCATATACAGTAATACCTGTATTTAAAAACCTGCTATAGCTTGGTACTCAGCTACCTACATTTGAACTGATTATATTTTACCTTCCTTCTAGACTT